AGTGGTATAAAGGTACCTGGTAAGTAGCCAGGAGTGTCTAGGTACCTGGTTAAGTATCTAGGGGTGTCTAGGTACCTGGTTAAGTATCTAGGGGTGTCTAGGTGTCCATGAATGGTCCGCGCGACTAAGCTGTGAGTTTGAATTATCTGTTTAAAGATCTTGACAGGTCGGTTTACCTATCCAGCCTATCCAACAACTATATTTAGGGGCAACAACATGTCAACCCCCCCCCCCCCACCACTTATCATTATATCCTGAATAGTTTAAACCTTCATTTATCTATGCTAACACTCACAACTCTGCACGTAAACTACCTCCCCCCTCCCCATGGTTCATGTTCTTTTAATTCCCCTGAGCTAGGCCCAAATGTGATGGTTGAAGAAACAGCTTGTATAAAGAGATGGATTGGATCTATTGTTTGAAAACACGAGAAACCGGTTTTATATAAAATAAACATCAAATATGTTTATAAACAAGCTTGCTTCAACACCCTCACTGCTCCTTTAAGGGAATTTAAAAATGTTTAATTATAAACAAGCTTGCTTCAACACCCTCCCTGCACCTAGGGAACTTATAAAATATTTAATTATAAACAAGCTTGCTTCAACACCCTCACTGCTCCTAGGGAACTTATAAAATGTTTCATTATAAACAAGCTTGCTTCAACACCCTCCCTGCTCCTAGGGAACTTATAAAATGTTTAATTATAAACAAGCTTGCTTCAACACCCTCCCTGCTCCTAGGGAACATGAAAATGTTTAATTGTAAACAAGCTTGCTTCAACACTCTCACTGCTCCTAGGGAACATGAAAATGTTTAATTATAAAAAAGCTTGCTTCAACACCCTCCCTGCTCCTAGGGAACTTATAAAATATTTAATTATAAACAAGCTTGCTAGATTTCTAGATTGGAAGTAGAAAAGAAAACACTAGACACCAAAAATACAAAACGGACTAAAGTTATCAATTTAAATGCATTTTTATACTGCAGTTCTTCGTGCTATTAATATTATATTTTTATACTGCANGATTAGGTTTTGTTGTAAAGCTACCGGATTTATAAAGATTAGGTTTTGTTGTAAAGCTACCGGATTTATAAAGATTAGGTTTTGTTGTAAAGCTACCGGATTTATAAAGAATTTTCATCATAGATAGATATTCTTGTATATCTATGATTTTCATCTATCGAGGCCTAATGATATAACATATCATTATCGACAAAGATTAAAAATTTAGGAACTCAGCCAAGCCAAAGTGTCAATTTTCAAACTATCATGACTTCCTTAATTTTTATGTTACAAACCTGTTATTGATGTCGATTAGAAATATTATGGCAGAATTTAAAAACTTCCTAGAATGTAAACGTCATACCGTACTATGGCAGCTGTAGTCTAGTACATATAACAGCGTCTTTTAGAGCACCCTGTATCTTCTGATACATTTAACAACGTCTTTTAGAGCACCCTGTATGATACATTTAACAGCGTCTTTTAGAGCACCTTGTATCTTCTGATACATTTAACAGCGCCTTTTAGAGCACCCAGTATCTTCTGATACATTTAACAGCATCTTTTAGAGCACCCTGTATCTTCTGACGTGTTATTCCTGTTTTTTTTGCCCTAATTATTTAATGTAAACATTTGAAGAACAACAAAATAAAACATTAGTTCATTTTTTTCTCTCGCTGATTGAGGAAAATCGATAATTTTTAATAGGAGGAGGGGGATAATACTTTAAAATTTGGTACCCCTGAGCTGAAAACTTTACAATGGGATATCCTTCATCCCGATCGGTTAATTAATCTGGAGATTAAAAACAAGAGGAGAACAAGCGTTATTTAATCTCGAGATTAAGAAAAAAAGTGGATCAAGCATTAATCCCGATATCCACCATTTAAAAGTTCCCAGCTAGCTCTGTACACATTTTAAATCCTAATCTGGCGTTAGACACTATATAGACAACATGTTGCAGACTATTCGGCTTGTACGAGGATTTGCAGTGGTTGCAATCTATCATTCTATCTATCTATCTATCTCTCTATCTCTCTATCTCTATCTATCTATCTATCTATCTATCTATCTATCCTAACTTTTTTAGGATTTTATCTGTGTCCTGTCTCCAGCTGCAGTTGTAGGTTTGTATTCAGTCAGCAGTGAATTATTGGATATCTCTCCTAGATCTAAAACAACACTAAAGAAAATGAAGAAAATGAAGAAAATGAAGAAAATGAAGAAAATGAAGAAAATGAAGAAAATAAAGAAAATAAAGAAAATAAAGAAAATAAAGAAAATAAAGAAAATGAAAAAAATGTAGAAAATAAAGAAAATGAAGAAAATGAAGAAAATGAAGAAAATGAAGAAAATAAAGAAAATAAAGAAAATAAAGAAAATGAAAAAAATGTAGAAAATAAAGAAAATGAAGAAAATGAAGAAAATGAAGAAAATGAAGAAAATAAAGAAAATGAAGAAAATGAAGAAAATAAATAAAATGAAGAAAATGAAGAAAATGAAGAAAATGAAGAAAATTAAGAAACCTTCATGTAAAATAGTGTAAAGCATGAAAACATTGTACCTTACCCACAAAGAATACAACATCAGAGACGACAATAAAGTATTTTTGATTCTTTTTTTCTGACATTCATGATTCCCAGAAAATGTCAAATCTTTCCATCTTACTATCTATCTATCAATATTTCCAATGTCCATTTATCTATTTTGTATCTATCTAGATATTAATACATTCTATCTATCTGTCTATTGTTCTATCGTTCTATTTGCCAATGTATCTATTCATCAAATCTATCTATCTATCTATCCATCTATCTATCTATCTATCTATCTATCTATCTATCTATCCACCAATCTATCTATCTATCTATCTATCCATCCTTCAACCTTTTTGTGTATAATAGGTTTGGTATTCGAGTATAGAAAGTTATATAAGTGGAGCTTTTATAAATATTTCCGTCTATTTAAGCCTATCTGTCTATCTACCACATATATCTATCTGTCTATCTTTCTGAAATGCATATCTTTCTGTCTTTCAATGTATTTGTCTATCTATCTGTCTAATGTCCATCTTTCCGTCTTTCGATAATACAATAATAAAACAATTCAATAGAAAAAATAAACTAGTCAGCTTCAATCTGTTTTGCAAAGATTATTTAACCCTGAAAGTTGAGGTATTTGGTTGATTGATAATATTTTATTTATCAATATAAATAAGTGGGTTGATAAATAGATAGTTGGACACTTATATATAGATAGATAGAGGGATATATAGATAGATAGATATTTAAATATGTATCTATGTATGTATTTCATAGATGTTATCTATCTATCCATGGCTGTGTGATGTGTATCTAGCTGTATATTATAAATATCTATATATATATATATATATATAAATATGTTTTGATGCATACTATCTGTGTATGTGTATCGTTTATACATAAAGTATACAGTATACATATTGAAAACACTAAGAAGAGTGTTATAAGATATTTAATGATCAGTGTTTATTCACTTTTTATACCGCAAAAGGAACTGTTTACTTCCTAGCCCGCCCCCCTTCTTTCACTCCCCTTTATTTCCGTCTCCCTCCCCCCATCTCTTCTCACGCACCTCTGACCCATTAGTAAAAGTAAATTCAACCTAAAGTCTGACCGCGTCAACCTTGTTGCACTGGCTAGTCCTATTGAGTGTATGCTATATTTACCCAATGTCCGAGCGATACAGTAAAAACTGGAACCGGAAAGGTTGACCCGGTTCGGAAATTCAAATGTACTACGGCTGCCCGTTCTCTTCTCTTCCCAACAATTGCCGCGATCCCTCCCTTCTTATTATCATCTTTGTAACCCTGATCACAAATGTATGCATTTAGATTTCAAGCTTTATACCAATTCCATGTTTAGAATTTTTTAAAACGTCGTCCCCTTTGCTTTTTGGAGACCAATGTACTAGTGAGTATTGAGTAATAACATTGCTGCTGTGTCTATATTGTATGTTGCTATTATCTATAAAATAAAGCTCTTCGCTCGATCATGCATGTATTGTATGTTAGCCATAGCTGGCCAAACGGCTAGACCGAATTGGCTGACATTTTTTTAGGAAACTCATGGCCCGTGGACAAAAATTTCGAAATTTCCTTTTCAAAATTTTGAAAAATTAAATTTTTTTCAAAATTCCATTTTTTTTAGTTCCCTGACAACTTCGGGCACCTCAGCTTGTATCTAATAATTCTACATATGTTTACTCCGTCTCCCAAAATCTTTTTAGGTTTAACAATATTTCCATGAATTCACGGGAATTTACATATTCAAAACAGGGACATTTTTTTTTAATATGACATGTTTTATTCAGAAAGGCCTAGTCTCATACATAAAAGTAACAAATGTTACTTTTTCAAACCAAATAAGATAAATATTTCACTTACTAAATTCTGTTATTTTGTTTAAATCCAACGCTTGCAGAATTCATTTCCATTTTAAATCGTCACTTTTAAAAAATACGATGAACCATAATCAAATCATGAATCCACCTGAAGTTTTTGTAATTAATATCAGATGTTTCTGTAAAATGGTATGAGAAACCTGAAACTTAACACAGAGTATCGTCATGAAACCCAGTATCGGAAACCTAGTTTCATGAATGGGGTCTACAGTTTTCTGGTTATCACTGTAAGAGTAATATTTTATGGGGTTTCTTTACCTTCTCTTTTTTGACATTAACAATAGTTGTACTGATAGACAGGCATATATCGTACTGCATTTGATATTTGAGGTTATGGACATGGTTTTTTTGCTTGAAACTCTATTTTAATTTTAATTTACTTCTTTCACACCATGTTAACATTTATATGTTTTTAATAAGTACAGAAGAATTGTTGTGATGTTAAAATATGTTTAATTGGAATCAACTATTGGGACGAAACGTTTCTCAAAAGTGCACTTCTTTTAAAAATGTTAAAAACAAGTAATTCTAACAATAATTTATTAATGAAACTATATAAGATATCTATAGATCACAGTTAGTGTAAACACATAAAAATTATTAAATAACAACCAATCGATAATTTCGAGACACAGCAAAAAAACGTTGCTTTATCTTGCAAACACTTGATCGGATTAAAAATACTTTCAAATTGACTAAATTTTGTTTCAGCAATCGTTACTTAAATAACATATTTCATGCATTTCAATCTAAAACTTGAAATACCGAGTGCATCTTCCATCATTGCATTTTTTGGAGTTTTGATTTGCTTGATTGCATTTTGAGCTGTGAATTAAAAGTAAGGAGGAAAAAATAAATACATTTTGATTCGAGCTCCAGATAACAAGTCCCAAAATATATTATCATTTGTCATCCTTTTCATATGTAATTTAAATGTATGTAGTCACATACTAGCTGCAGAGATATTTAAGTACTTTAAATTAAGACTTAACAAATATTGGCTAGTGGGCAGTGGCGCTACTTTCCCATTTATTCTCTTCATTCTTATCCGTCTAATATTCCACCTCCTGCTCCTCCTGCGTTTCCTGCTCCTCCTGCTTCTGCTGATCCTCCTGCTTCTCCTGCTCTTCCTACTCTATCTAGTACTCCACCTCCTCCTTTATATTGATGGGCGGGGAGCCTGGATCGTGGTATGGTGGGGAGGAGCGGGGCGGGAACCGTTGAGCAAACATAAGAGAATCTGACAGTTTCGAAGTTATTTCTGGGCTGTTGGAGTAGGGGGGAGAGGACGAAGAGAAGGGAGGAGATGACGAGGTGAAGGGGGGAGAGGACGAGGATGGCATCTCGTCTTTGGTCCCGGGTCGAAGTAATGGTAGGGAGAGTTTGGGAAGAAACATGTCGGAGGAGAGTCCGGGAAACGAGGAGAGAAGATTGAAATTAGGATTCGGTCGCGGGAGGTATTGATATCCGACCGACATCGGCGGGAGGTGTAACGGCATCCCGGGGCGGGTAATGCCAAGATGCGGCGGGAAGAGGGACGGCGGAAAAAGCCCTGGGTTCGATTGAAAGCGCGGGAAACCAAGAGATATTCCGAAATTTCTGAAAGCCGCTAGGCGGGACCGGGAGTTCATAGTAGATCGTCTTCTTAGTTTTCCCGTTGTACCACCTACAACACAAATAATATTAATAATGATAAAATTAACATAATAATCATAATGATAAATGTGAAAATAATAACAATAATTATATAAGTGAAAATGTTGAAATAAGATCGGCAATAACTTCAATAATAAAGGTATGTGATGATAATTTCAATAAAAATAATATATGATAATAATTTCAATAATAATCACATACATAAAATCTTCAATAATAATGATATTTGATAATAATTTCAATAATAATGATACATCATAATAATTTCAATAAAAATTATATATAATAATAATTTCCATAATAACGATATATGATAATAACTTCAATAATAATGATACATGATATAAATTTCAATAATAATGAGATATGGTAATAACTTCAATAATAATGATATATGATAATAACTTCAATAATAATGATACATGATATAAATTTCAATAATAATGATATATGATAATAACTTCAATAATAATGATACAAGATATAAATTTCAATAATAATGATATATGATAATAACTTCAATAATAATGATATATGGTAATAATTTTAATAAAAATGATATATGATAATAACTTCAATAATAATGATAAATGATAATAATTTTAAAAACAATGATATGTAATAATAACTTCAATAATAATGATATGAGATAATAATTTCAATAATAATGAAATATGATAATAATTTCAATAATAATGAGATGTAATAATAACTTCAATAATAATGATATGTAATAATAACTTCAATAATAATGATATAAGATAATAATTTCAAAAATAATGATATATGATAATAACTTCAATAATAATAATAATAATTTACCTATAAAAACATCATCACAGGTTGGGTCTATCATCCAATAATTCCCCTTCCCAGGATCATCATAGTGTCGGGGAACCTAATTAACAAGTTATTTATTAAATTTAATTCATTTACCATTAATTTGATTCGAAAGGAATTGAGTCTTAGTCAAAAACTGGAATTTTCTCATTTCTATATCTTTGCAACCTAATGGTGTAAACTTTTGATATTTTAAACTTAGATTATTTGATCTAACAAAATTCATAGTTTGAAATATCTAAAGACGACATTGGGTTCCAAAGATATAATGATTAAAAATCAGAATTTGTGGCAAAAGCTCAATTCCTTTAAGATTCGAAAAAATGGGTTTCGTTATTTATTTTATTGTAAGTATTTGAAAAATTGTATGTTTGGTAAAATAAATAAACAAAATGTTTGTTTTCTATGATTTCAATTATTTTTGTCATGAAATGTTATTATTTACTGAGTTTATGCATAACAAATGTTAAAATATTTTGAAATTTCAAAGTTCCTTTTTCTTTCTATTTAATTAATGATAACAACAGTTTTGAAATCCGCCACTACATGAAGTAATTTTTTGCTCGTTAAAATGATTTAAGCCCGTAACAATAATAATAATAATAATAATAATAATAATTAAAAGATGATGATTTGATGATAAAACAATATCATTGTAGACGTATTACCAAATTACCCTCTATTTGAAAGAAAGTGTCATGTCCTATTTACAACGGTACCCTTGAATTCTATTTATATTTTAAAACGTGTTGAAAAACAGCCTAAATCCCAAAGTCGCTTATATAGAGAAACCACAATTAATAATAATAAATTTTTAGCTAATAAAGAAGGATATATCATTCATTCAGAATAAGACAATGCCACTCTAGAAATGGAGGGTCACAAAAAAATACGTCTACAGTGTCTTTTTAAGATAGTGAAAAGAAGTTTTGTATCTTTAAAAAAAGTATTTTGAGTTTTAAAAAATCTTATATAAAATAGTGATATAATCGAAGTGTATGGCTGAAAGAGAAAATTATAGAAATATAAGATACTCAAAGATATGATTTCCAGATTTCCAGTCATTCAATACTATTCAACAGAGTAAGGACGAACTCCTGATGATGCCAAAGTTGTTGGCAAAAAATATTGAGAAGAAAATGATATAATTCTAGTGCTAGAGAGTACGGTTGGGATTTGTTTAAAGACAATCTAAAGATATTAAATGTTACTATTTTGCTACTATTTCTATGATATTACTTATTTTTAAAATAATACTATATATATATCTATGTTCTCTTAATTATATTTTTTTTAATAATTCGTTTGTTAATACATCTTATTTAAAAAATATTCTTTATCATTAAAAAAAATTGTGAACGATATTTGAAATAAGAAGTATATTATTTTAAGTGAAGATTTTTCGAAAATAAATAAGTATTGAAAAATACATTTTTCATGATAATATTTCATATAATAATAATTTGATGTTGCCGATACTACTTTAAAAAAAATAAAAGTAAAACTGTTTATTTCAAAGAATATAATGCTTTAAAACTATACGTTTTGTAATATATTCAAAATAGCAATAATACTTTCATCCAAGATACTAAAAAATGATAAAGATACTTTAAGGTATGATAATATATAGTTTTTAATGATATGACTTAGAATAATAATAATAATACAATGAATTACATTTTTGTCAATTATATAAATATATATAATATATATATACCTTTTCTCCGGACTGTTCTGTATTGCCATCATAATCATTGCATTATAACTATACGGAGGTTTTTCATCTTTCTTCTTCTCTTTCTCTAGAACTTCTTCTGGTCTTTCTTCTGTTATATCAATATCTTCATCCTCGTCCGTCTCTCCTTTCTCGTCTTCGCTTCTGGATTCGACAATACTATCGACTGTCCTATTATGATCGTCGCTGAGTAGCGCCCGAATAGAAAAGTTCGACATAATTCTACTTTTGTTTTGGTTCATAATGTCACCTTTTAAAGAATATTTGTGTTTCACTTGTAGTTTGTTTTCTCCATGGAGTTTGGTCAAGGTGTATGAATGGTCAGTATAATCTGAGTATCTGATCACTACTGAACTACTGTTACACCGATAAGTCGGTCTTCTCTGTCTTAACAGATTGACCAATCAGTGACTAGTATTCAATCTGAAACCGACCAATGAGAGAACGAGTTTGGGTCGGTGTTCGACCAATGAAGGACCGGGACGGTTGCGCTCCACTCACTCGGAAAGGACTGTTTGCAAACAAGGAACAAATTGCACGGCTCAGGTTGCCGCCGATTTTTGAGATGAATGGCCGCCGGGAGTACAAGGATTTCAGAAAGTGCCACCGGGAACAATAATATGTCGGTAAGGAAAGACTAAATTTTTTACAAATATATTATTAATCCCCTCTATCCCCTTCTACTGCATGAGCAGAGTTATACAAATTCATTTAATTAATTAAAATTAAAGTTATGTTTATCTAACAAGTAAATAAATGATTGATGAAGATTTAAATATTTTAATTGAAGTTAGCTACACATTATAAAATATATACGTCAATTCATGAACATTGTTCATGAATTTTATAATCCAAAACCTGAACATATATATATATATATAGAATATATACGTCAATTCATGAACATTGTTCATGAATTTTATAATCCAAAAACCGAACATCTATCCATAGAATATATACGTCAATTCATGAACATTGTTCATGAATTTTATAATCCAAAACCTGAACATATATATATATATATAGAATATATACGTCAATTCATGAACATTTTTCATGAATTTTATAATCCAAAAAAATAAACATTGAAAATACATATATCTTTGCAACCTTACAAGGCCAAATATGAGGTGGGGCGCCGGGACGCACTCCCTCCCCTGTGTTCCAACAGCCCCCCCCCCTTCTAGGAGATCGAAAATAGCCAGACAATGTTTGGAATTTGATGAATTGAAAATAAGAAATAAAATTACTCACTGCAGCGCCATATGTATTAGACGCATTTTTTCCTTGTCTTTGCTCTAGTGACTTCAAGAGAGAAACTGCAGTTGAATATTCTTGGCTGGAAAAACTGAATATTTCCATAGAATGTTCTTGAACAAAAAATAGCACTTCTGTATGCCGAGTTCATTAGCGCCTGATCCAATCAGGGTTCAGTCATGTGTTTGTAGTCTATTCTTCGTGCTATTAATATTATATTNAGTTATAAATTCTTCCATCGGCGCTATCAGTAAATGGAAATATGTACTTCTACTGGTGATAGAAGGGTTCTATTTTCAAGTAAAGGTTCACTTGAAATTACGCCGATAGTCCCATGAAACATCTGATCCTGCTGATAGTCCCATGAAACAGCTGATCCTGCTGATAGTCCCATGAAACAGCTGATCCTGCTGATAGTCCCATGAAACAGTTGATCCTGCTGATAGTCCCATGAAACAGCTGATCCTGCTGATAGTCCCATGAAACAGCTAATCCTGCTGATAGTCCCATGAAACAGCGGATCCTGCTGATTTTCAAATTTTTAAAAATAAAGAAAGAGGTTTAATACATAAAGCTGGCAAGTTGATCCTTCATTCAACAATTATTTAACAATATCTGCCCTGTTTCATTTTGCAAATCTTAGACTAGATTTTTTATACTTTTTTTTACATAAATGTATTATATCTTGTAAACAAAGATAAATTTGTTTCCAAATATTATTGTTTATTTGAAATGTTGTTTTGATGACGGTTCGATAAAAAATAATTACACGGGCAGCCATAGTACATTTGAATTTCCGAGCCGGGTTAATTTTTCAGGTCCCAGTTTGTACTGTATTACCCGGACATTCGGTGAAAAACGCAGACAATCAATAGGACTAGCCGGTGCAACAAGGTTGACGCGGTCAGACTTTAGGTTGAATTTACTTTTACTAAAGGGTCAGGGGTGCGTGATTAATGTGTAATTCTTTGAATCATTTCACAAATTTAAGGTAAAATGTTTAGTTTTTCAGATTGAAAAATCAAATTTTTTCTATGCAGGGGGCACTGCCCCTCTGCGTCGGGCCTGCAACCCTATTTCGGAGACCTTTGATGTTTTAAAGTATGAATTCTGCTGGAAATCATCAATAGAAAGTTTAAAATATTACAGGTTTACACCATCATGCAGGTTGCCAAGATATAGGGATTACAGAATCAGAGTTTGTGACTAATGTTCAGTTGTTATATAGCTTGGGTACCCAGGGTTGGTCAGGTTTCTCATAGTTATTCCCGCCGTTTACCCGCACATGTCCGTAAATTACGATTACAGATAAAAGTCGACCCACTCAACTTAGAATCACAAAACCAAGCAAAGAACGTTCCCCTGGCTCTCCCGAGTTCCCCAATCAAATCAGTTCAGGGGTCCTGAGTTATGATCGGACAATCAAACAAAACAACAGACAGACAGACAATCAAAGATTACAACTTTATATTTATAGATGTGTATAGAATTAAGATTGTGCCAAGGCTTTAAAGTGAGTGTTTACGAAAAATGAAAGGGAGTTGTATGGAATTAAATTGATTTTCTTACGATCCGAGTTGAATCTTGCATCTTTCCGAATTTTGGACACTACCTTCTTCTGTTTGAGTCGTTTTTAACAATTTTCTCCTTATTGATTCAACAGATAGAAGTAAGATTAGAAGCGATCAAAAGCGCTTTCTTAACGCATTAAGCCTATACCCCCTTTCATTTTTCGCGAACACTCCCCTTAAACTCCGAAATCAGATGATTTGTCCGTTTATGATTTAATGAGAAACTTGATCTGTAGAGGATTGGAGGGGGTTATCTAACAAGTAA